CTGCCCAGGCGGGTCTCGAACCCGCGGGCTCAGGCAATCCACTCACCTCAGCCTCCCAAAGGCGCGAGATTACAGGCTGAGCCACCAAGCCCGGCTGAGGGGCTCAATCTTTGAAAAGTTAATTTTTTTATGAGTCTATATATATATATATATATAAAAGCTATATATATGAGATATATATGATATATATGAGATATATATATACCTATGTGTGTGTACATATAATATATAGTACGTACCTACTTCACAGGATTTTTGTGAAGATTAAATAAATTAATAATATACGTTTAAAGCTTTTAGGAATCGCCACACTGCTTTCCACAGAGGTTGCACTAGTTTACACTCCCACCAACAGTGTAGAAGTGTTCCCTTTTCTCCACACCCTCTCCAGCAGCTGTTATTTTTTGAGTTGTTGATAATTGCCATTCTGACTGGAGTTAGGTGGTATCTCAGTGTGGTTTTGATTTGCATCTCCCTGATGATTAGTGAGGTTGAATATTTCTTCATATGACTGTTGACAGTAGTGGGAAACTATGGGGGGGAGATGGGATTAATGGTAGCAAATATCTGTCTGGGGATGGGGAAGCACCTCTTATCAATAGGGTGCCTGAATGAAACGTATTTGTATACCTAACCCTTAACTGTACTCCACAACATCATAATAAAAAATATTGATTATTAAAATAATAATAATAATAATAATATACGTGAGCCACTGAGAAGTAGTACCTGGTTGACAAATATTTGCTACATTTATTGTCATTATCAATTTGTTAATAAGGAAAAACAATCATATTACGTCTCATAGAGAGATGAAAAGCCACCTTCACACCTAGTTCTATCTGAGTCAAACACCTACGCTGCTTCTCTGTGCTACGCTGCCCCTCTTAAAGATCAATAATCAACTCTGTCATAAACACTTGGGAATTTTGAATTCAGTCTTAGACAAACAACAAAGTTAAAATAAGCACAAACTTGTGATGATATCACGTTATTTTCAAGAAAAATGTTTAAACCTATTATAATGATCTGTAAACTCAAACCATTTTAAATGAATTTTATATTTCAGTGCTCAAGACGATAAAGTGAGTTTTGTTACCGTATTTTTGATTATTTGTAGCTTTTATTAGTTTCTTCTTATACTAAATAATCTACACTGAAACAAGAATAATTGAATATAAATATTCAGGGAAAAGCATCATATTTCTAATCCCAACCTTCATAATTATTGCCTTATAATTACTGCTTCTAGTACTGCAGAATGTATCATTCATATACCTGGTATTGTGCAGTTTCATAACTTATTTTTTCCCAACTAATAGTATGTCCCTTTTTCCTTAGGCATTAAATATTAAATGAGCCTATGAGTGCATTGAGTTAATATACTTTAATTTAACTCATATTTTTTTTCTTGGATGTTTAGATATTTTCCAATTATTCATGATCATTTTAAAAAACTAGTTGAAAAATTCTTGCAAATAAATATTTCTGGGTACAACTGCTAGGGCAGAGTACTAAACAATTTTTTAGGTTGAGTATACATTTTCCCAAATTTCCTCTGTAAATATTATGTTATTCAGTGTATGAAGCTAAGTGTTTTGTCACATCCTCACTGTCAAAAAGCACTAACATCTGTAACAAACTTCTTCCTACTGACAAATGCAGAAGATTTACTTGTTTTCATACATATTTCTTATATTGTTAGTGAGTTAAAATGATTTTAATTTTTTTTGAATGACTGTATTTCTTTTTCATGATGAATTGCCTGCTTCTGTCCTGGCCTTATTTTTAATACTTGGAATTCCAGTGATTTGTAGGAATGATTTGATAATAAAAAGAGTGAATTTTATTACTTAGAAAGTTATAAGAATTTTCAAACTTTTCAGATTAATTTAAAATAATTGTGTGATCCCTTATAAATTGCAAAATTTGGAATTTTATTTAGGCAAATCTATTTGTATGGCCTTCTATAATAGTTGCCTTTAGATAGGTGACTTCAAAGGTCTTCCACATTTCAGTAGCAGATAAATTCTCTCAATGTAAATTGAATAGATGCTTTTGAACATTTACTAAAGTCAAGCACTGTGCTAGGAGGCACTGGAGATATAAGTGTGAAGAAGATAGATAGGGTCCCTGTACTTGGAAGCCGACAGACTTAAAGAGAAAAAGAATCACAGAGTCAGGCAAAAGAAGGTAGCTGTTAATATTGACTGCAGTTAATATTTATTACAAGATAATAAAGGAGATACTCAGAGCTTCACCTCTATTCTAAAGATTTTATTTCCCCTATTTTTTTTTCCATATACTGAAGTTAGCCAAGAGAGCATGGGTCTTTAACAAGCAAAGATGCTTTTGTTTCTACCTTTAATTTAGCATCTCCATCTGCTGGAAGTGGAGGCAAGATTGCCGAGGCCTTGTTCCAACACATCAGTGAACTTCTTGACGTACTAATGGTATTGAGCATTGCTCCTCAAAGGGTGTCTCGGTTCACCCTTGCAGAGCACAAAGGGTTTTATTGAGTGATTTTTTCCTAGGACCTTGTCCATTTATTTCTCATGTTTCTTTTTTTTTTTTTTTAGTATGAATTGTGAGTCACAGATTTGTGTTGCTTTCCTCAATCTTGGCTTAGGTGTATTTTCAGGAATTATAAAAAGTTGCTGAAAGGTAACAGCTTTTTCTGCATATTTTAGGAAAATGTAGATTTTCTCTATTTTAATAAATATTCCGTCAGCTATTTAAGCAGGAATTCAAAACAGTAGTATGAAAAGGTATGACAATGAAATACATGTACACAATATAGATCATACCCAGGAAGTCCAAATAATTGTGTGTTTTTTTTAGCTGAAATTTTGTAACCTTTGACTCTCCAACTTCTCCTCCTGATTCCCTAGTAACCATCATTCCACTTTATACTCCTATGAGTTCAACTTTTTTAGATTCCACATATAAGTGAGAGCATTTATATGATCTAAAATTGTTTTTCTAATCAAGTTATTTAATGCAATGTAAAATATTAAAGATTTCGGATATCGTTAAATGATGCCTTTGTTTTTCAAGTTTTCTTTATGATAGAACCAGTGAATATGGTATCCAAAATTTTGGTGATGTGGGCAAAGTTACCATTTAAGAGCTTACCCTTTCCTTCATTGCAGTTGTTCTGCGTTTCTAGAACCCTCCTTTTCTCTTTTCCTCTTTTCCTTGCTCCTTACCTATCCTCCAAAACTCCTGCCACTGTACACACACACACACACACACACACACACACACACACACACACACACACACACCCCACAGGGGCGGCAGAAGGGGAGAGACTGAAAAAGAGAGAGAGAAAGAGAGAGAGTGATTAAGGGTTTACTTGTCTGAGAAGAAACCTAGGGTTGCTAGATAAAATAAAGGACACCCAGTTTAATTTGAATTTCAGATACACACACACACAAATTTTAGTATAAATATACTTCAAAGATTGCATGGGACATATTGATGCAAAAAAAAAAAATTTGTTGCTAATCTGAAATTAAAACTTAGCTGGGGCAGTCTTATTTTTATTTGCTAAATCTAGCAACTTTGAAACCAATCATAAGTATTATAATGAATTTATCCATGATTTTGAGTAAGAGATTTCTAAGAAGACTAGGACCGAATGCTCCTTTGGCCAAGATTAAACATTGTCATCCAAAATTATTATTCTGTTTGCATGTGCATTGAGAAAGAGGTTGTCCTCCTACCTGGTCCCCACAGGTCAGTGCACTGCTCCTGCAATGTGGGACATGCTCCCATCAAGCAGTAGCCCTTCCCATTCCTGCAAGGGAAGCCATTGACTTGAAATCTGTCATCAGGACAGTTACTAGATTTCCCATCACACATTTCAGGCAGGTCACACTCATCTTTCGCTGGTCTGCACACCATCCCAGCCTTTTTAAACTGTAGAAAGAGAGTGATATAGAGAAAAGTATTTTTCTATCCGCCTTATCATAATATCTCAAATTAACACAAGTTATATTTTCATTTGGCCTTTTCGGGCATGGTCGTTGCAGGGATCATTTTTCTCAAATTTACACTTGCATTGTATAATTAAAGTCATAATTTTTGTATCACTTCTGCTGATGTTGGCCAATGCCCCAAGTCTTTAAGTAATCATTATTTCTGATTTTGCAGCACACTCAAGAAATACAATGTAGAAAAGTATAAAAGAAAACCAAACGACAACTTAGATGCATAGAAGGAAGTTCTCTCTCCTGTTGTTGAATGAATCTTTGTCAGAAATTTCAAGGAGATTTAATCTGCAACTTCGGAGATTTACTGGTGAAGTGAATCTTCTGTATTAAAGAAGATAAGTTTATAAGCACCAGATTAACATACTCTGAGACTTTCCCAGGCCTCAAGTTTCCTAGTCCTTAATTCTTTTTATTGTATGTTCAGATATTTCTTTTCAATTCATTTCTTCTTATGGAATGATTTACCATGAGGAAGGAATAACCAAATATCCATTTGATCTGTTAACTCCAACATAAACTATTACTGTAAATCTTGCTCTTATTTCCTTAGACAAATCTTATTAAAACAAAGTCTGCCATTCCTGAGAATCTGAGGAAGCATGTCTTTCCCTGGCTGACATGAGCCACATTTTCTCATTGCATCAAAAACCTTTCAATATCTTTCTACCAGTGACAGGATCAAATCCAAATTTCAATGGAAGCACATGAAACCTTCCAAATTCAACCTCCATTGTCCAGATAGACAAGTTTCCTTGACAGTTGTCACATAAACCATGCTTGTACCTTCTTTCATGTTTTTGCTCTTTTTGTGTCCTCATTTGAAAACTCTTCCCCTTTTTGTCTAAATCGAAATCTAAAATCTATTCTTTTTTTTCCAAGCCAGTTGAAAGCTTCTTTTTCTATGAAGGCTCCTCTGACCACTTCATATCAATTGCTGCTCCTATTTTCTTCATGTGCTGGGAAAGAACCCTGAATTCAGATTCAGGTGACATGAATTTGAATCTTGGCTCTGCCAGTAGCTGGGTGCATAACCTTAGAGAATGGATTTAATCTGATAAACATTTTTTCATCTAACATTTACTTTTACAAGGGTATTGTGGAAATTAACTGAGAATGTATGTGGAAAGTATTATATATCATTATACTATCAGCATGAGCATCTCATAATGTGTTAGATTTTCATGTTTATATCATTGCTCTAAGGAAGTAAACAGTAATAGACTGAATTTTTAATCTCCCATGGTCTCTAACAAATAGCACTTGTTGACTGTTACTTAAGTTCTCAAATTTACTTCCTTTCGGCTTCTATTTATTCCTTCTCCCTCTGACATTAAAAAAATTTTACCAGGCCAGGTTCGATGGCTCAGCCGGCAATCCCAGCACTGTGGGAGACCAGGGCACGTGAATTGCCTGGGCCCTCGGGTTCAAGACCAGCCCAGGCAACTTGGTGAGACCTCGTTTCTACAATAAATAAAAAATTAGCCAGGCATGGTAGCACACACCTATAATTCCAGCTACTTAGAAGCTGAGGTGAACAGATGTCAGAGCCCAGCAGGTTGATGCTGGAGTGGCTGTGAGTGTGCCACTGCCCTCCAGCCTAGGCAACAGAGTGAGACTCCAACTCAAAAAAAAAAAAATTATACCAAATATTACCTAGAACTTGATGTGCTCTCTACACATTCATTCTGCACACAGCTATTGAGCATTTAAAATGCATGAAAGTCTGTACTAGGTGAAGATGAATCCATCTCCTGCCCTTAGGAGGCCATCCAAATAAAGTGACAAACACACACACAAACGATCACAATATAAAGTGACACTCAACAACAGAAAGTAAAACATCAAACCCCACAGAGAAAATGCTCCACAGAGAAAAAGTCCCACGGAGAAAACGACATGCTTTGTTTCAAGAAATATCACCGTGCGGTGGATTCAAAGGTTGAAGATAGGGGCTCCTCCCCACTATTCAGAATAAAAACTTTTTTACCAAACATTTCATTAAAGGAGATACAACCAATGTTATGACATTTGGTCCAAGAAGGCCATGTAGCATCAAAAGAAGCGACAGGCAGGAGTAAATAGCATTGGCTTGGAAGCTGGTTGTATTTGGGGTTTGCCCACTAAAGAGTGGCCATGCTATTTTTAAAATTTTTATTGTATTGTATTTAGGGCATACATACTATTTTGATATACATATGCATAGTCAAACAAATAAACATAGCTGTCTCCTGACATCCTGTACGTGGTGAGAGCTTGTGAAATCTATACTTTTAGTCAATTTATAATATACAACACCGTTTTATTACCTATAGTCATCATGTTGTACATGAGATCTCTAACCTTATTCATCTTCTATAACTGTAGCTTTGTACCTTTTGACCAGTATTTTCCCATTTCTCCCACCTCCCCACTCCTGGTTAGCACCAGTCTCCTCTCTCTGTCTACGTATTCATTTTTTCTTTTTAGATTCCACATATAAGTGAGATCAGTATAAGCATTTGTCCTTCTGTGTCTGGCTCATTTCACTTAGTATCATGTTCTCCAGGTTCATCTAGGCTGTCACAGATAGTGGCCAAGTTATTTTGAACATTGTATGCTCTGAACCTCCATTCCCTCAAAAGCAAAATGAGATGATAATAACTACCTTGTAGGGTCATGGAAAGGTTAAATCAGTCATGTATGTGAAGAACTCAGTCAGTGCTTCATAAATGTTGCTATATTGTTTTATAGAAAAAATATCACTTTTTCTATTTCATTGGGTGTTAAGAAAAATAATCATAATTATTAAAATAGAATAAAATAAACTTACTTGGCATTTTTCACAGCAAACTCCTGACGCACATTGATAAATGGCTTTGAGTTTACATGTTTTAGCCTCACAGCAAATGTTGGTACATTCCTAAAAATATCAGAAACAAATCCAAATACCAGATTACTTTTTGGTCTTACTTCAGCATCATTTGTAATAGAATATATTCATCACACAGACATTACTTTAGTAGAGTCTGAAAGTGATTTTTACAGAAACAAAAGAAAACAAAACATTAGAAAAATTTTAGAGCAACTGGTGGTTTGTGGTTTATCTGAATTCCACTTAGATCCGTTTTGTTTTTTAGTTTGAAGGTCTTTTCTATATCTTCCAAATACCAATAATAACACTAAGAAAATATCTATTTAAAACAAATAAATAAAAAGTATAGTGTTTACAATAAAATTTATCAAAACAGTTATAAGACATAATTAGCTCAGCTCATCAACTTTGTACTTATCTAGCAATAAATTCAGTCTCTAGAGTATGTACTGAAAAGCTAAAGATATAGTTATTTATTTAACTTTGACAAGCAATTCAACTCTGCTTGAAGCAATATACTTTGTCTTGGTCTCGCTGCTTTGTTTCTGAGAAATCAGAAACCCATCTACACAAGCCCCTGGAGAAACTCTCACTGTAGCTGTAAAGATCTACAGGTGAGTGATAGTTTTAGAGTTACAACATTTCAGGGTTAAAATGATTTGGTTCAGAGATAATCCTCAACTGGGACAGATTACGCTTTCTCATAGAACGAATAAATTTGTAATTTTATTTCAAAGTTACTGTAAGCAGATACCCTGAAGGCATGATGTATTACTCATATTAAGTGTTAATAAGATAGAGGCAAAGGTCTCATCCAGAATTCCAGCTGCCCTGTGAGTAGGGTCGGGGCAGGCACTTCTAAGGTAATAACTTCCGAATCCTGAAGCTAAGGAGGTGCACCAGATTCCTGGGCTGGGTGGTGCTGGGACTCTGAAAAACAGAGCTGAGTCCGGGTCTTGCTCTTTAGTTTACCAGCTCGATGACCTTGGGCAAACAAGCTGTTTACACTCTCTGAGCACGATCTCAGTACTGTGTCTAAAGTAATGCTCAATAGGTAGAAATGTGAAACATTTACACTCTCTGAGCACGATCTCAGTACTATGTCTAAAGTAATGCTCAATAGGTAGAAATGTGAAACATTTCAGCTAGAAAGGGAAGGATAGGAACACAAAGCCCAAAGTGGTGAGTGGTATTTTAAAAACAATGTGGTAGGGAGGGGTGGTAGGGAGAGAGAGAGGAAACCCTGAGAGATAAATTAATTATCAAGGACTATTAGATTGTGCACGGTTCTTTGTCAGAAAGACTGGCTTGGCAATACTTACACATGAACATATCAAAAAATACAAAGCACCTACAATTTTATAGTAGGCCATATATTATTTTATAAGGTGTCTTTGTACTAACTGAAAAGCAACCAGATTAATTTAGAAAGTGCTTGGTGTTACCTCAGGAGTACCACAGTCACATTCCTCTCCTATTTCTAGCAAATAGTTCCCACAGATTGGGGTGGATATGATATCTTTAGGCAGTGGAACATTAAAGAGGCAATTTGATAATTTATCTTCAAAGAACTTGTCATAGCTGCTACGGCTGCAGGAACTGAAGTCTGTGGGTATATAGAAGCTGTGAAGATAAGGAAAGGAAAAATGGAATACAGTTAATGCTTTTCACATAGTGAACAATATCTGACATTGAGCACAATTACACCCACAACCTGTCCCAAAAGATCAAACCCAATTCACCGACTGACTGCTAATTCATAAGCTCATTTGTAGGCCCGAATTAACCCACTTGGGTGGACACAAATATCTCTAGTTTAATGAGAATATATGGCCATATCTCAAAGTGTGGCATCCAGGCCACTAGTAATAAAACAAAAATTCCTCTGACTTATCTAAGTGATCTTATTTAGCGGGGTAGATCATTTTCAGGTTGCAAAGTTCTAAAGGGTGCAAAGTCATATTTATTTACATGTCTAAGAATTCGCTTTCCTTCAGAGAAATTCCTACTGATGAAATCTCTTCATCTCACAAATAAAGATGAGGTTTAAAACTGCAGTAATATTGGGGAGAGATGACATCAACTAAGTAACTGCCATGCATCCATAAACTGTTTTGTAAAGGACCTTGGGAGAGTAGCCGTAACTTGAGTGGGCTAAAAGAATGAAATGAAAATGAAAACAGAAAAGAGGAAATGAATAGAGTTTATAGAATGAATTCCATGAATAGAAAAGAGGAAATGAATATATAAAAGAGATTGTGAGATTTTTAAATATAAGATTGCCTGGAAATTTTGCCTAAGGCGAGGCAGGAATATGTGATATCATTTCACAGACTATCTCCAACCACTTGTGGAGAAGTTTCTTCTTTAATTAGGTTTTTCTACGAGAGCTCTTTCTCTAATACCACACATTCTGAACTCATAAAAAATACGAATTATTTTCTTGAACCAAATATTGTGTAGATAAGATGGGAATAAAATTATGAGTTGCCCCAACAGCAGAGAGACAATATGTTTAAACTATGTCTTAGATCATGGCAATTATTCCATATAGTTAAGGGTATGGAGGCTTGGCAGAGATATACATTCATTCAATAATTCAAAAATTTGTACATGTTGAAACTGACCTAAGGAAGTAGCATAGAAACAAAGATTTGACTTTGTAGAGCATCTTCTTATTTACTCATAAGTGGACCTTGAACATTTATCATAATACTATAAGAAAGGGATTGGCAGTATTGGGACACTGCCAGGGGGAGGGGGGCACATAACATCAATAAGGGTACCCACACTTTACCTGTGTGATGACCACGTAAGTACCCCACATTTTAAAAATAAAATAAAATAATTTTTAAAAAGAAGTAGTATAGCCAGAGTGGATCAAAACCAGAGATGCATGACATATTCCCAGACCTCACCTCAGAGCTCTATCCATCACACATATTGTAGAAGGACACTTGCAAACATAAGAGTCATGAAACATTCCAAAATTGTGGCCCATTTCATGGGCCAGTGTTCCTGCAACTCTAAGAAGATTGTCACTGTGGTCCTAGGGGTAAGAATGAGGAAACAGATTTGGTTTTTGAATGGAATTATAATTCAGAGTATGTGTTTTTATAATTAAAGATTCTTCACATTGTCCAGTAAAATAAAAAAATTGATTTAGCTTCAGTCTTCTTACCCTTCTCTCTCTTTCTGTCTCTCTCACTCACTCACTCACACATATACACACCCCTTTGATACTGAATGCCTATCACAGAATATATTGTCTCCCCTTTGTTCTGGTGAATAGGTTCCTATAAAGAGGATAAATGTTCTTGTCTTCTGCAATGAAAGATAATGTCAAAAGTTTTTAAACAATGATAAGGAATAAGAAACCCCCCTTTTAAAAAACATATTTTTTATTTTAAAATTGTGGGGTACAGTTAAGGGTTAGGTATACAAATATGCATCATTCGGGCACCCTTGTTGATAAGGGGTGTCTCCCCGTCCCCAGACAGATATTGACTACCGTTAATCCCACTTCCCCCGCCCCTTTTTTTAACTGATCCATCTACCTTCCCTTGGGCTGGCCTTTCAATACTTCTAAATTAATTTTAGAAGTCTCTAATGTGTTTGACCAGTAGGGATCTATAATTGTTATAGATCTATAATTGTTTGTTAACCTAGCTCTTTAGCTAGGGATCTATAATTGTTTGTTAACCTAGCTCTTTAGCATTATTGGTATCTTTCTCAATTCTATCACTGCAAAGACTAGACATCAGGTAATTAAATATTTGTCCTGCTACATGAAGCCCAGCTGACAGCCAACTCTCTCATCAGATTGTTACTGATTTGAGGTGGCTCCAAGTTATTCAGGAGCAATAAAACAATGCAAAAGAATCACTGCTGCTTATGATTTCCTATTGGGAAGACAAGGGTCTGCCAGGGACATCTACCTACAAAAATCTGATTGCCTATCTGCTTCATCTTAAAGAACCAAATGTAAAGATCTACGAGGAACAGTACAAGAGTGGCAAACAAGCAGTAGCTGTGTAAGATGAGAAGCTAATAACTACACTCAAAATGTCCATTCATTCTTTTGAGATGAACGTGGTACACCTTGCTGGACAGCAATATGGAGCTCTCTAAGTGGGGAAAAATTGCTAACCAAAAAGCTCAAGAAACATGAAAATGTGTTTGGAAGCTTTTCAGCTTTTTAGGTTGCTTTATTTGGAGTTCCTTTCCATTGAAGTTTTCTTCTTTTATTTTTAAAAAAAATTCCTATAAACTATTTTATTGTAAAAAATGATTTGCCATGAAGGGGTTCTTATGCTCAAATTCTAAAAGTAATCCCCAAAATTCAGTCCCCAACTGAATTTGGTACCTCAAGATTTATTTTAATATTTACATAATAAATATTCATTTTAATCACTCAGTTCTTCTCCATCACTGAAATATGTGCTTTCCTTTATCCTTGGGCATCTTGAGTCATCTGATGTTGAGGGACCCCCCTGAACTGAATTTCCACTTTTTAGGTTCTCTGAGCATACTTTTAGGACAGGCGTACCTTCAGTGTCTACTTTCCCCACATTAATAACACTTAGATTTATCAAAGTAGTTTTCGCTTTTGGATGAACTCAGCTGCTCTTCCGTCATCAACAGCAAATCTTGCTTTCATCATTCTACCAAATAACTGTTGTTCGTTGCCCCGGTACACTTTTGTGCAGTCTTTATCCAAAAATAAAATAAATGTGATTTTACTTTTCCTGGTATCTTTATCTTTCATTATAGTTACCTTTACAACGTTGCCATACTTGGAAAATATCCGGTGTAAGTCATTGTTTGTTAGGGGAAAGGGCAAGTTAGATACAAAAACCGTACCCTTAATTGGAGCCAATCCACCACTCATTTCTTCAGGTGGAGCTGGTGGGGGAGACCAGAAGAGCGTGAGCCTTTGGCTCAGCAGGGGATTAAACCCTACTCTTCCTCGATGACCAGAGCGGCCTTGGCATCAGGGATCCTTGGAGATGTGGGGTGCAGAGACAAGGTAGTGGCAGCCGCAGTAACTCTTCCTGGCTCTGCACTTCCTCGCCCTGGAGGCGGGCTGGTTTCTTCCTTTAAATAATTATTTTTTCTAACTTGAATGGATTCTTCACCTTGAATGACTTCAATTCTGTCTTCCCCCGATCTAAATCCATTTTTTTTTCCCCAAAAAGTCAGTGTCTCACTCAGAATTCAGAATCTCACTCTGACGCCCAGGCTGGAGTACAGTGGCACGCTTAAGGCCACCACAGCCTTGACCTGCTGGGCTCAAGTGATCCTTCCATCTCAGCCTTCCAAGTAGCTGGAACCACGGGCATGTGCCACCACACCCAGCTAATTTTTTGATTTATTGTAGAGATGAGGTCTCGTTACGTTGCCCAGGCTGGTCTCGAACCCCTGGACTCGGGCAATCCTCTAGCCTCAGCCTCCCAAAGTGCTGTGATTACAGGCGTGAGCCACCGCACCTGGCTCTAAATCCTATCTACTGTTTGAGTCTCATCTTAATACAACTTTTCCTGAACATATTAATCTTTATCAACAATTCACTCTTATGGATTCCTATCACAGTTTTTAATTGCATAATGTAGCACTAAGCTATTTACTATTATACTTTGGAATTATTGCTTTAAATAGGCCAGTTTCTCTTCCAATTTTATGGGCAAGCTCTTTCAAGTTTGAAAATATGTTTTGCTTCTTCTGTATATCCTTAAAGCCTATCACAAACCTAGACTCATAAGATGTCCACTAAAAACATAGTTCCATTTCTACCTAGAATTGGAAACCTGGAAAGAACCTTATTCTTGCTTTCTTTAAGGAAGAAAAACTTAAATAATTATAACCTTCCCGGAACTCATAAGCAACTCGGGGTTACAGGACACCCAAAGAGTCTGTGAAAATACACAAGATTCAAAAATAATGAAGTTATTTTTTGGGGGAGGGTAAACCCTTTGTAGTACAGGCTTTCCTCTCTAGGTAGATGTTCTAGGAACCCATCAACATCAGTTTGCCAGCTAGCATTGTTGTGAGAGGATGCATTTGGTTTCAGTGAAATTTTTTTGGAGATTCTCTCAACGTGTTTGCCCATTTCGTGATGGGTGATTTATGAACACACCTGGTCACACCACGCAATGTTCAGCAGTCTGTGGCCAAAAATGGCATGAGTCCCACCCCCCCCATTCACTGAATCTCTCCTTGAGCGACTTTTTGTTTGTTTACTTCTCCGACGGAAAAAAGTTGCAGAGGGAAATGTTTTGCTGATGTGTATTCCTTCTTTAATTCGTGTTATTAATGTTGTGTGTCCTATTGCACTGGACAGTTGGGTTATGGTTTATCAGTGTTCTCAATCTTCTTGAAGAAAGAACTTTTGATTTCATTGAGGCTCTGTATGGTTTTTCTGCTCTCAATTTTATTGATTTTTGCTCTTGTCTTGACTATTTCCTTCATTGTGCTTATTCTGCTTCTATTTTGTTCTACTTTAATACTGTTACAAATGTTCCACCATGCTTTGCTTTAGCTGCATCCAAGGTATTTGAAGATATGTGTTTTCAGTTTTCTTCAGTTCAAAGTATCTTCTAATTTCTCTTTTCATCTCTTCTTTGACTTATAGTCTTACATACAAATGTGTTGTCATAATTTTCATTGTTGACTTTTTGTTCAATACTGTTACGTTCTGCAATATACTTTGTAGAAGTTCAATATTTTTAATGATTTTAAGGTTTGTTTTTGGCCAAGGCTCCATATAAACTTGAAAAGAATGTGTCTTCTGCTGTTATTGAATGGTGTGTGTTATAATTGCCAATGATGTCAAATTAATTTATAGTGTTCCTTGGGTTTTTTACAATCCTAATGGCAAGAGATAATATTGAAGTACTCAAGTATAATTATGAATTTTTCTATTTCTTCTTTCAATCCTATAAGGTTTTACTTCATGTGTTCCTCCTTTAATTCGTGTTATTAATGTTGTATGTCCTATTGCCCTGGGCAGTTTGGTTAGCGGTTTATCAATGTTCTCAATCTTCTTGAAGAAAGAGCTTTTGATTTAATTGGTACTCTCTATGGTTTTTCTACTTTCAATTTTATTAACTTTTGCTCTTGTCTTGAATATTTAAAGAAGGAATATCACTATAAATTCTACAGATATTGAAAAGATACAGGACATCATCAACAAATTTGTGTCAACTTAAATAGACAGCTTTCTGTAAAGATGTGAACTATCACTTCTCATGTGAATTGAATAAATTTGTAGCTAAAAATACAGTTTTACTGGTGAATTGTATTATACATTTTATGAGAAAATAATACCAAGACTACTCCAATATTCCAGGAAATCAAAGAGGTGATAACTTATATCAACTTATTTTATGTGGCTAAATTTACCATGATAATAAAACCTAAGACACGTATTACAGGAAAAGAATACTACAGACTAATACTACTCATAAATATAGGTGAAAAGACTATATATTTTCAAGTTGAATCAAGACATCTGCTAAAAAGATAATAAATTATGACTATATTAGGTTTATCCTTTAAAGCAAAACTAGTTCAGCATTTGAAATTCAATCAATGTTATTAGCATGTCAACAGATTAAAGGAGAAAAATTAAAATGATCTTTTCCATAGATTCAGAAAAGCAAAATCATTTGACCAATGTAAATTATAAACTAGCAGTTTATCTTCAAACAGACCTGGATAATACCAACAGAATGATAAGGCAAGCACATTGTAGATGTAAAAGCAAGTCCCACAGTGGATCCAGAAAATTCTTTTGCTCTACAAGAAAAGAATAAATCGATATAATGAATGATGATTCTAAGGTCTATTATCTATAGACAATTCGTTCAAAACTCTAAATGGTTAGCAATAAAGTACATATTGTGAACTATCATTCTTAAATTTTTCCTTCAGTTTTTAAATTTCCATGAGGTATTTTTCAAGTACCTACATGTGAACATATTTAATAATGCATATCTATCATTCATGATTATATTTTATATTGTGAGATGTATCTCTTGTCAAGAAAAAGGGTTTTTTTTTCTAATTAATCTCTCTCTCTATATATATATATATCTTGTTTTGATATTAGTATGGCCACATACGCTTTGTTTTATGTTTTCTTCATATATTTTTATATACTTTAATTTTGTTTTACTTTAGCACTCTTTTAGCTACAGTAGGCTTAGGGTTTGGGTTCATTTGAAAGCATTTGTCCTACTTGGTGTTTATGATATTCTAATATTTGTCTTATTAAAGAGTGATTTGAACCGTTTGTTCTTACACACATAGATGCTATTTGTCTTTAATAATTTTACCTTTGGTGTTTTGTTTTTCTTTTCTCTATTAATTTTTAATAATTCCTTTCTTTGTTTTTCTTCTTTGATATCTGTACAAGATCTTCATCCTTGTTTGTCTATAGAACTTTGTAGAGTAAGCACTGAGTTTTTAATTCCCCTAGTAGATGTATTAATATAAAAAAATTGAACCAGTATTTTTTCCACAAAACAACTCCAGGAACAAAGAATAGCATTCTGCCATGCAAAATGAGAAAATTAGGAACTTCCTCCCACTTTCCATTCTCTACAAGGTCTATCTCTTTGTTCAGCTTTCAGATATTTATTTTAAAATTATATTTTGCATTCTGCATACTTTGAAGATTCATGACATTTTAATTCTCTTAAAATTATATTGTGAAGTTCTTTATACTCACTTTTACATTTGTGTAGTTTCAGTTTTACTACTGGTTCATTTATGAAAAATAGCATCTTTTCCCATTCTGGAGGTATCTATTTTGATTTCTCTTTTTGCTGAGTAGAGTATATTTGGACTCTAATTTTCCTATCTGATTATATCTAAGAATATGTTTTTTTTGGTAGTTTGGTAGGCAGTTTCAATTTATAACTGGAAGGACAAATATTTCCTGCCATCATATTTAATTTGTGACTTTATCTTTTTTTTTTTTTTTTGCTGGCCTTTTCAATAAATCTGTTGTCAACATTGTATCGCCATTTTTTCACCACTACATTTGTCATCTTGTCTATGATTTTATCTTTCCATCAATTACTGCAATATGAGAATGTACAACAATTTGACTGGCTCTAGAACCAGTCAGGTAAGAGTTCAAATAAGTCCCTTACTACTTACTAGCTGTGAGACCCAAATCACTACATCTCTCTACAAAGAATAAGCTCAGTCCAGTGTGTATCTCTGAGTCTAGAGCTCATCTTTCCAAATTATGTCAGCTATTTCCCTGGGATGACCCACCAATAAGCCAACCTTACAGTGTTCACAGTCTGAGTAGTGCCTTCTCCTTGACTCTGGGCTGGCCCTACAGCTGGTCCTTGACTAAGATAATATACCAGTAGTGACACTATGAAACTTTTGACATTAGGTCATAAGAAACTTGTATGCTTTCTTCTGGGCCTCTGGAAGTACTTATTTTGAGAAAAGATAGTCACCTTTAAGAAGTCCAACTATCCTAGCCGGGCTCGGTGGCTCAGCCTGTAATCCCCTGCCTTTGGGAGGCTGAGGTGAGTGGATTGCCTGAGCCCGCAGGTTCGAGACCCACCTGGGCAACAAGACCTCATCTCTACAATAAATCAAAAAATCAGCCAGGCGTGGTAGTGCATGCCTGTAATTCCGGCTACTCAGAAGGCTGAGGTGGAAGGATCGCCGGAGCCCAGCAGGTTAAGGCTGCGGTGGCCGGGAGCGGCCACTGCACTCCAGTCTGGGCGACAGAGTGAGACTCCAACTCAAAAAAACAAAAAGTCCAACTATCCTGAGACATCCACTGGAGGAAGTCCAAATTAGGCACATAAAAGGATATATTTATAAAGACATCAACAACTACCCACTACTCCAACCATACATATAAGTGAAGACATCTTATTTTCAGTTCAGAAATTTTGAACTTCAGTTCAGAAATTTTGTTATGCAGTAAGAGATGACCAGCATAGAAATATTCAATAATGTTGATGGTACATAGTTCACTGATTTCCCATGACATAATTTTTGTTAGATAGTGAACTCTCTAGTAACTTCAAACCAATTTTTGTTGTTTCCTTCTGATTCCAACTGGATACTATTCAGTTATCCAGCAGCATTTCCATGATTTCTTTTGAGACATATGCCCAAGGCTTATGTAATCTGCAGTCATTGATTTTATTTCCCCTATTGTTTTTAATTGATCACTTAAGCGAAAGAGTGGAGGTGTGAAGTTAGAATATAATATTAATTGTCTTTCTATCTTAGATTTCTCCTAACTAGAGCTTAAAGCCAATCAGTTCTTTTTATACAATAAATCAATATTGATCTTTCCATTATCTAAATTTGATCTTCCTCTTATATACCCAATGAAAACAAACTTCTTACGAATCTTTGCTAAATTATTATATTTTCTTAAAGAAAATATGCTTTGATCCAAAATAAAAGCATACTCAACATATGCTCTAAGTGAAGTACTTTTTAAACTTCTAATCCTCCATGTGTACACTTTGCCTTATCAAAGTTTGGAAAAGCTTCTAGGCACTCATCACATAGTGTGCAAAGAGAAAAATCTATACTTACGTGATTAACTGAGCGATATCATGATGCTTTCTCCTTGAGAGGACACTCCCCCTCCATTTAGAAAAATTTTCCAAGGTGATACTTGCATTTGGGGTTATCTGTATCTTATCTTGGTCAGTCCAGATTTCCATACCAACCAAGATCACATGGGTATCAAGCTTTTTATAAAGCTGTCCAAAGAGAATGCATGGCAAAGCAACAATTTATGAAGGTATTATGTTTAAAATATTTTCAATGAAATTTACATTTTCAAACATTTACAACAGCATTATGAAAGCTTTATTTCCAAACATACTTGTGAAATAGAAGTTGCTATTGGTTTTTGCAGGCATTAGAAAGTTCATTCAATAAAAAGCAGACACCATTAGATATTTTGGGTTTGTAAATTCCTTTTTTTTGTTTTTGGAGAAAAGGGCCTATGGAGATAAACTTTTCCTACATTGACTTCAGGAAATACTATATTTTGGTGTTAGCAGCTCATTATTATGGATTCACTTTAAGAATGTTTATTCATATGCTTTTCAATGCTTTCACAGTCATAATATCTCAGAATTAGCAAAGTTGGTTCAATGTTGGTTTGCACATTAGATAAGTAACATAAGTGAAAATATCCTACATAAATGAATTACCATAAGGTAAGTAGTTGCTACGGTCTGAATGTTTATATCCCTCCTAAGTTCATATATATATATATATTTTTTTTTTTTTTTTTTTTTTTTTTTTTTTGAGTTGGAGTGTCACTCTGTCACCCAGGTTGGAGTGCAGTGGCACACTCACAGCTACCACAGCCTCGATATGCTGAACTTAAGTGATCCTTCCAAGTAACTGGAACTACAAACATGTGCTACCACACCTGGCTTATTTTTGATTAAAAACGAGGTCTCACTAAGTTGTCCAGGCTGGTCTCGAACCCCTGGACTCAGGCAATCCACTCACCTCAGCCCCCAAAGTGCTGGGATTATAGGCATGAACCACCATGCCTGGCCCCAAGTTCATATTTTTAAGCAATTGGTTACATCTCAACTCAACCAAAAAAAGGTCAAAAGAACAAATGGTCATCACTCCCTCAAAAAATGTAAAGCATACAATTTTATTTCCATTGGGAGTATGTAAAAATGAAATCTTCTATTAAATATCAAAGGATAGTTTTAGAATCCTAGACAGTTGAACTGGAAATGGCCTTAGAGATTATTTGCCTAGATTGTTCATTCCACAACTGAGTTAATGACTGGCTTGGGAAGGCTAGGGAATTTACCTGAGGTCAGTGTTAAACTGGCAGAGAAAATACCAAAACTCAGGTTTATTCATCATGGTTTATTCATCATGGGTTCTTGGACTTTTCCCAGTACCCTATAGTTTTTCTCAACTCTCTGTTAGTATA